ATACTCATTCTCATGGATGTGCAGTAGTATCTCACTACAATTTTAACTTGAACTTCCCTGATGACAATGTTGAGCATGTTCCCACATACTTATTAGCCATTTAAGTGTCTTTAAATATTTAGCCCATTTTTTTATATTTTGGTTTTTGTCTTATTGAGCTGTAAAGCTCCTTTTTCAGATATATTACAAGTATTTTCTCTCAGTCTGTAGCTTGCTTTCTCATTTTCTTAACAAAGAGAAAAGTGTCTAATTTTAGTGAAGTCGAATTTATCAATTTTTAGTTTATGGCTCAAGTTTTCTGCATCCTATCTAAAAAAACTTTGCCCTTCCCTCTCAAAGATGGTGAAAACCTTCTCCTCTGTTTTCTTACATAAGTTGTATAGTATGAGCTTTTATGTTTAGGTCTAAGATAGATTTCAAGATAGTTTTTGTGTATGGTATGAGATAAAAACTGAAGTTCATTTCTTCTATGTGGGTATGTAGTTGTTCTAGCACCATTTGTTGAAAAGATTATTCTTTTCCCCAGTGAAGCGCCTTGCCACCTCTGTGGAAAAACGAGCTGACCACATAACCATGGGTCTATTTCTGGATTCTATGGTGCTCTGTCGATTTCCGTGATTATCCTATGCCAATACCACATTGTCTGGATTGCTCTAGCTTTTTTCAGTACATTGTGAAATCAGGTAAGGTAAGTCCTCCGAATTTTGTCTTTTTCAAAATTGTTAAAGCTGTTCTAGGTCCTTTGCCCTTCCATATAAATTTTATAGTCAGCTTGTCAGTTTCTTAAAAAAAAAAAAAAAAACCTTACAGGAATTTTCATTTGAATCTATAGATTAAGTGAGAACTGATATCTAAACATTATTGAGTCTCCCAATGTATCACCGTGGTCCGGTTCTCTGTTTATTGAGGTATACTTAATCTCTCTCAGCAAAGATGTGTAATTTTCAATATACAGGACTTTTATATATTTTAGTTAAGATCTATCCCTAAACATTTCATGTTCAGAGATGCTAATATAAATGATATTTTAAAAAACTTTAATTTTGTTTCATTTCTAGACGACAGAAAATGCAAGTGAATTTTTAATATTGACCTTGTAGCTAAACTTACATATTATTTCCAGTAGCTTTTCTTTAGATTTCTTAGGATTTTCTATATACATGATAACGTGATCTACAGAAATAAACAAAGTTTTACTTTCTCCTTTCCAATTTATATGCTTTTTAAATTTCTGTCCTGAATTACTAACTATGAACTCCAAAAAAATACTGAATAAAGTGGTGAGAATACTTGGCATGCCATGCTGTGGCAGGCATCCCACATATAAAGTAGAGGAAGATGGGCACAAATGTTAGCCCAGGGCCAGTCTTCCTCAGCAAAAAGAGGAAGATTGGCAGCAGTTAGCTCAGGGCTAATCTTCCTCACAAAAAAAAAAAAGAAAAGAAAAGAAAGGAAAAAAAAAAAGTGGTGAGAATAGACAATCTTGCCTTGTTCCCAATCTTAGGGGAAAGAATTCAGTCATCCACCATCATGTATGATGTTAGATAGGCTTTTCATACATGCCATTTATCAGGTGGAGGAAGTTCTCCTCCCTTCCTAGTTTGTTGAGTTTTTATCATGAATAGGTCATGAACTTTGTCAAATACTTTTCTGCATCTGTAGAAATAATATATTGGGTTTTTTTCCCTTTATTCTGATAATACGCTGAATTATGTTGATTTATTTTTGAATGTTAAATCAACTTTGCATTTCTGAGATAAACTCTAATCACAGTATATCATCCTTTTTATGGATTACTGGATCTTACTTTTTAATACTATGTTAAGGATTATCACATTTAAGTTCATGAGGGATGTCTGCCTATAGTTTTCTTTTTTCAGTAATGTAATCTGATTTTGGTATCAGGATAATGCTGGCTGCAAAAATGAGTTGGGAAATATTCCCTCCTTTGTTTTCTGAAAGAGTTTGTGTAGGACTGGTATTATTTCTTCCTTAAATGTTTGATAAACCCTCCAAAGATGTCATCGGGACCTGGAGTTTTCTTTGTGGGAAGGTTTCAAATTATGAATTCAACTTTGTTAATATAGGGCTACCAAAATTTTTCTTTTTCTCCTTAAATACATTTGATAATTTGTATTTTTCTAAGAAATACATTCATTTTGTTTAAGTTGTAGAATTTTATTGGCACAAATTTATTCATATTCCCTGTTTAATATCTGTAGAATCTGTAGCAATATTTGCACTTTCCTAATATTGATACGTGGCTCTCTTTTTTTAAAACTCAATTTAGCTAGGTCTATAAAAATATATGGAGATTTTCTTCCAAATAACCAGATTTTGGTTTCACTAATTTTTTATCTATTGTTTATTTCCTTTTCATGGATTCCCACTCCTTTTTTTGTTTGTTTGTTTAACTTTGGGTTTAACTTGCTCTCCTTTTTTCTAGCTGCTTAAGGTGGAAGCTTGGATAATTGATTTTAGACCTTTCTTCTCTAAGAAGCACTTAAAGCTATAAACTTCTCTATAACACAGCTTTAGCTTTATCCTCTGATATCTTGTCAAAGGTTCAGGTTGAAATTTTAGGGGCCAAAGGTTGTTCATTTCCCAGAAAGACATAGATAGGAAATAAGCAACAAAAAGAACATCCTTAAAAGAAAAATCTCAGAATGGAATAAGTCCTCCCAGAAATGGTAATGACTCCTGCCAGTGTGTATTAGGCTCCTCACGGGGCAGTCATTTCTGGGATCTGGCAGCACTAACAATTTGGAGTAATAAAAATCGCTGTAGGGTGATACTTAGAACAAGCATTTATAATACCATCAATTCAAGGCATTTCCTTCTTAGTGGCACTTAAGAAAATAATATACCACTAGAGTAAGTCTGAATATTAAAGATACTACAATAGATATAAATACACAATTGCTTTCCCTACCTTACTTTTTTTTTAATTGATGACTGATTAGCTCAGTGCATACAACACACATCACACCAATGGCACTGCTGTCAAGGTGAAATCTTACTCTATTTTAGGCACCCATTCTGTACCTTGATAATACAAAAGCTACTAAATAGATCTTAGTAAATTAAGATTCAAAGATTAATTTGAAAGTTTGTGCCAGAGAAATATTTTTATTAATTAAGCTAGCCTGATGATAACACAAATGGATTTTAAAACACAGAAACAAATGCTCCAATTATGAGTCAGCTGGCTGTAAATTATCTTCACAAAAACTAAAATATTTCTATGGCAGACATTCACACAGTAATACCACATAAAATAAGTAACACGTTTTTACTACTACGTGTAAGAAATACTTTATCAAATTGATTATAATTGATTTTTTACTGAGTATGAATTTTCTAACTTAAAAGTAACCACTAACCAGTAATGCAGTTAAAAAAAAATTCTTTAGGATCAGAGACCTGAATTTGAATACTGTATCAGCTCCACCCCTTATCAACTGTGAACAAGTTACAAAAATCATCCCAGTATTAGTTTGCTCATATGAAGTAGGGATAATAAGAGCACCAATTAAATAAGGATTTAATGAGCTATTTTCTGTAACAGCACCATTTAACCCACTTGTCTGACACACTATACTGTATAAGCTCGCAAAATGAATCTAGGTGTTTACTAACAAACACTTCTAATTTAAAAGTTGACAAGAGAAAAGAAAAAAGAATAGTTATAGCTGATGGGGCATTTGAAGGGCAATGTCACAGAAAAATGTAGTAAAATGCCATTTTTACCTTTAAAAAAGTTTTAAGTTTTAAAAATATATCGTCTGTTCCTCCTCACCTATACCCTACCTCCCAGGAAAAACGGAGGAAGAAATGATGCTAGTAGACACTACAGTCTGACAAGCAGGTTCAATCAATTTGCTAATGTTAATATTCAATACAAACCGTGGTATAAAGTAAAACTGCATATAGATTACAACAGTCAATACTGAGCTGTACAGATTATGCCTGCTAAACACTGCAGCCTGGTCTAGAAGTCGGTGGGGCCTCCACGTCATTCAGTTCATTCCGGGCCTTCCAATCGAGTTCTCAACAGACAAACATCTACAGCTCATTTTTTTAAATTTGGAAGAAATTCTAGCATTTAAAAATTCTTAGTTACAAATTACCATTTTAACAAAAATGTCAAGTTTATGATAAAATTGACTGACAACCCATTATTTTTCAAAAGTATTAATAAAGAAGTGTACGTCAATTTTGTTACTAAGTCTGTGCTGTTCTATCTCCTGATTCATTAGCAAAGGGAAAAAAGACACACAGACATGCTTTACCTTCTTATAATTTTTCAAATATACTACTCATCCTTGTCCCCAAGCATAAAGTTCTCAGAATAACTGCTAATTTTTCTCAAATACACATTTCTTACATAACGTTGTTCTAATTTAACCCATTACACAAAAACACAATTTTAATGTCCTAGTGCAGCAACATTTCCATGTGAATTAAACATAGTAACATTGATTTGAGGTCAGCCATAAAACCAAACCCTTAAACACTTGCCTCAAAAAATGTAATACCTACTTTATATACATGAAAATTAAATGTCATGAATTTTAAATCTCCACCATTAAATCTTCAGAACCTTCAAAACAAGGTCTTCCCAAAACAAATGTTCCCAAAGCTTCTGGTAAAGAAACCTAGGATTACACAGTACTCCAAACACTAAAAGGCAGACAAGAGTAGAGGGAGAGGAGAAGTATAGGAAAAATGGGAAAATGGGGATCTCACTGTATTTACAACTTTACTTTCTAGGCCGTTCTCAATCCTGGCTACTCAGCAGAATCGCCTTTTGAGATGCTTTAAAATGACGTGCTCAGGCTGTATGTAACCCAAACCTACTAAACTAGAATCTTTGGGGAGTCACAGACCAGATATCTGCATCTTTAAAGAGCTCCTCTAGTAATTAAGAGGCATGGCCAGTCAGGCTGAGAACTATGGAACAGGCAGTCTACTATTTAGGTTTAAAAATATATACAAACCTTGATCTGCTGTCGTCGTAGCATGGCAAGTTCCCTCATGTCTCGGAATGGCTGTAGTAAATACTGATAGAGTTCAGTTGTGGCTTCTGCAAGGCTGCTGTAGGCTTCATCTTCCATCTGATACAAGTCCAGAAGCTCCACCATGCTCTCTGTATTCTTGTGCTTATCCAAGAGCTGTAGAACAAGAAAGTTTCACTACAAAGAAATCTGATAATAACCTATAAATACTTGATTTTAACTCCCTATCATCTCAGGACCTTGGAACCATGAAACCCAGAAGCACGAGGGAACAAAGAGCACTGACTGGTTTTCATCACTCATCTCCATGCCTCAGGTGTCTTACTACTCAAGACCACTGCCTGAATCACCCTTTTCAAGCGGCTTTTACCGTTTTATTCCTGTTCTCTGGATTTTTCTGGGACTGCATACTCTCTGCCTAGCCTTAACTCGTTAAAAAAATTTTTCTACCATCTGGTAGCTTTCTCTCTATTTATAAAAAAATATTTTTCGAGGGGGGCGGAGCAAAATGGCGGGGTGAGCTGACCCGGGATTCTCTCCCCTCCAAAATACAACAAAAGATTGGAAGAACTGAATTTCAGAGAACAAAAATAGTGCCAGCTCGTTAGAGACCTACAATTCCAAGAAGGCGGAGATCATAAACCTTGCTTACACCTTCGGAGGTGCTGGAACGGTAGGAGAGAACATCGCTCCCTCCCCCAGAGTCTGCGATCGCTGCGGCGTGGGTCGGGAAGGAGCGGGGGAGGGGCTGCGCAACCGGGGGATCATCCAGGACTCCTGCCGCTGATTCAGTGGAGACCCGCTGATGGGGGGAAAGCTTCCGTCCGTTAGGACCCCATAAATCAAGGGCCTTGGGAGACCAGAGAACAGAACTGATCTGACCCAGACCGGCGCGTGTAACAGCCCCTCCCCGCCAGCAAAGCCAGTGGGCGCAGCCATCTTGCCCCAAGCGGAGAGCTAACACACTGCTCTCGACCCCCATCTAGTGGCGACAGGCTGTAACTGCAACTGAATTCTACCACCATGAGAAAAAACCGCTCCTCTACCATCCAGCAATTTATAAAAGCCCCAGACCATTAGGAAAACAATAAAAACACAGAATTAAGTCCTGAGGACTTGGAATTAGGTAAACTAAGTGATAATGAATTCAGAGCAGCTATAAGCAAAAAACTCAATGAGGTAGAGAGAAAGATAGAGAAACAAGCCGAGTTCTGGAGTTACTTCACAAAAGAGATTGAAATCATAAAGAAGAATCAAACAGAATTACTTGAGATGAAAAACACAATGCACCAGATAAAACAGAATACGGATTCCCTGAATGCCCGTGGACACAACATAGAGGAGCAAATCAGCATAATCGAGGACAGACAGGCTGAATGGCACCAGACAGAGGAAGAAAGAGAACTAAGAATTAAAAAAAATGAGGAAAATCTCCGAGAGATAATGGATTCAATGAGGAGTAAGAACATAAGGATCATAGGAATTCCCGAGAATATGGAAAAGGAAAATGGAGCAGAAAGTGTGCTTAACGAAATTATTGAAGAGAACTTCCCAAATCTAGGGATTAACAGAGAAATGTGTGTAGAGGAGGGTTTTAGATCTCCTAGATTTCTCAATGTAAAAAGAGCTACCCCAAGGCACATAGTAGTAAAGTTGGCAAATAGGAATGATAAGGAGAGAATACTCAGGGAAGTAAGGAAAAAAAAGAGAATAACCTATAAAGGAGCCCCTATCAGACTGTCAGCGGATTTCTCTACAGAAACCCTACAAGCTAGGAGAGAATGGAGCGATATATTCAAAGCTTTAAAGGATAAAAACCTTCAGCCAAGAAGACTCTATCCAGCAAGAATTTCCTTCAGATATGAGGGAGAAATTAAATCTTTTCCAGACAAACAAAAGTTAAGGGAATTTGTAACTAAAAGCCCTCCATTACAAGAAATCCTCAAGAAGGCTCTCATACTTGAAAAAAGAAAAAAGGGAGAAAGGGGACACAATCCATAGACTAGGGAGACCAAACGATAGAACCACAACAGGATAGCAAATATTCAATTATAGCATTAGGGTAAAAATAAGGAAACTACCAAAACAAGGACGATCTTAGCACTCTAACTACAAATGAATAAGATGAGTTGGAATAAAAAATGAAAATAATTATTTAGGAGGGGAAGAGCAAAGGGTCTAAATCAGTATTGGTCAAGTAGGTAAGAGACCACCAGAGAATAGACTATATTATACACGAGATTCTAAATACAAACTTCAAGGTAGACACTAAAATAAAGTACAGAACAGAGTCACAAGTCATAAATAAGGAAAAATCTAAGAAACCCAGCATAAGAAATTGCAGTATTAAATGGGTAGGATAAAGCACACAGGAAAAGAAAAACAGGAAAACAAGATAATGAGCGACAGATTAACAGCATTAAGTCCACATGCATCAATAATCACTCTCAATGTGAACGGATTGAACTCTCCAATAAAAAGACACAGAGTGGCAAAATGGATTAAAGAACAAGATCCAACAATTTGTTGCCTCCAGGAAACACACCTCAGCCCCAAGGACAAACACAGACTCAGGGTGAAGGGATGGAGGACAATACTTCAAGCAAATAGCAAGGAAAAAAAGGCAGGTGTTGCAATTCTCATATCAGACCAAGTGGATTTCAAAATAAGACAGGTAAAGAGAGACACAGAGGGACAATGTATAATGATCAAAGGGACACTTCATCAAGAAGAAATAACGCTTATAAATATCTATGCACCCAACACAGGAGCACCAAGATTCATAAAGCAACTATTAACAGACCTAAAGGAAGATGTTAAAAACAACACAATAATAGTAGGGGACCTCAACACCCCACTCACATCAATGGACAGATCATCCAGACAGAAAATCAACAAGGAAATAGTGGAGCTGAATGAAAAACTAAAACAATTGGACTTAATAGGCATATATAGATCACTCCACCCTGAAGGAGCTGAATACACATTCTTCTCAAGTGCACATGGAACATTCTCTAGGATAGACCATGTGTTGGGAAACAAGGCAAGCCTCTACAAATTTAAAAAAATTGAAATAATAACAAGCATCTTCTCAGATCATAGTGCTATAAGGCTAGAAATTAATTACAAGAAAAAAGCAGAGAAAGGCACAAAGATGTGGAGACTAAACAACACACTACTGAACAAGCAATGGATCACTGAAGAAATTAAAGAAGAAATAAAAAAATACCTGGAAACAAATGAAAATGATACCATGCCATAGCAACTCATATGGGATACAGCAAAAGCTGTATTAAGAGGAAAATTCATTGCAATACAGGCACATCTTAACAAACAAGAAAAATCCCAAATAAGCAACCTTAAAGTACACCTAACTGAACTAGAGAAAAAAGAACAAATGAAGCCCAAAGTCAGCAGAAGGAGAGAAATAATAAAAATCAGAGCAGAAATAAATACTATTGAAACGAAAAAGGCAGTAGAAAGGATCAATGAGACAAAGAGCTGGATTTTTGAGAAGATAAATAAAATTGACAAACCACTAGCCAGACTTACAAAGAAAAAAAGGGAGAAAGCTCAAATAAACAAAATCAGAAATGAGCGAGGAGAAATAACAACAGACTCTGCAGAAATACAACAGATTATAAGAGAATACTACAAAAAACTATATGCCAACAGAATGGATAACCTAGAGGAAATGGATAAATTCCTGGACTCCTACAATCTCCCAAAGCTCACTCAAGAAGAGGCAGACAATTTGAACAGACCAATCACAGGGAAAGAGATTGAAACAGCAATCAAAAACATCCCAAAGAATAAAACCCCAGGACCAGATGGCTTTCCTGGGGAATTCTACCAAACTTTCAGAGAGGATTTAATACCTATCCTTTTCAAGCTATTCCAAAAAATTAGGGAAGATGGAACACTTCCTAACACATTCTATGAGGCCAACATCACGCTGATACCAAAACCTGACAAGGACACCACGAAAAAAGAGAACTACAGGCCAATATCACTGATGAACATAGATGCAAAAATTCTAAACAAAATTTTGGCAACCAGAATTCAGCAATTCATCAAAAGAATCATACATCAGGATCAGGTGGGATTCATACCAGGGACACAGGGATGGTTCAACATCCGCAAATCAATCAACGTGATACACCACATCAACAAACTGAGGAATAAAAACCACATGATCATCTCAATAGATGCAGAGAAGGCATTTGACAAGATCCAACAGCCATTTATGATAAAAACTCTGAACAAAATGGGCATAGAAGGAAACTACCTCAACATAATAAAGACCATATACGACAAACCCATAGCCAACATCATACTCAATGGGCAAAAACTGAACCCCATCCCCCTGAAAACAGGAACAAGACACGGATGCCCTCTATCACCACTCTTATTTAACATAGTACTGGAGGTCCTGGCAGAGCAATCAGGCAAGAAAAAGGAATAAAAGGAATCCAAATAGGGAGGGAAGAAGTGAAACTCTCGCTGTTTGCAGACAACATGATCTTATATATAGAAAACCCCAAAGAATCCATTGGAAAACTGTTAGAAGTAATCAACAACTACAGCAAAGTTGCAGGGTATAAAATCAACTTGCATAAATCAGTAGCATTTCTATACTCCAGCAATGAACCAACAGAAAAAGAACTCAAGAATACAATACCATTCACAATCGCAACAAAAAGAATAAAATACCTTGGGGTAAATTTAACTAAGGAAGTGAAGGACCTATATAATGAAAATTACAAGGCCTTTCTGAGAGAATTGGATGACAACATAAGGAGATGGAAAGACATTCCATGTACGTGGATTGGAAGAATAAACATAGTTAAAATGTCCATTCTACCTAAAGCAATCTACAGATTCAACGCCATCCCAATCAGAATCCCAATGACATTCTTTACAGAATTAGAACAAAGAATCCTAAAATTCATATGGGGCAACAAAAGACCCCGAATTGCTAAAGCAATCCTGAGAAAAAAGAACAAAACGGGAGGCATCACAATCCCAGACTTCAAAACATACTACAAAGCTACAGTAATCAAAACAGCATGGTACTGGTACAAAAACAGATGCACAGATCAATGGAACAGAATTGAAAGCCCAGAAATAAAACCACACATCTATGGACAGCTTAT